GGATCAGCTTCAAACAGTGTAAAAAGCATTTAGAATATTTACCATTACCACTGTTTGATTGTAGCAAGAGTGACTGTGGTGTTTTGGAATTTTATGAAAGATTATGAAAAGTTTGTCTAAAATTGTAACGTTTCTGAATACACAGAGGTCAAGCATGCAGATCCAGTTCATGCCAATGCCGTCTGCCAGTCACTTATATTAGCTTTTATGGTGGCGTTTCATCCCAGATGTAAGTGAACATTAGAGACTTCATGCGGTAAATGCTATTTTATTAGCAATAGCGTTCCAAAACCTCCAAAATAAACAAACCAAGTCTTTCATGTGGCTTCAGCATTGGCAGAAGAGATATGAGAATCGGCACACCCTCTCATTTAGAGGCAAGGCTAAAATTATCATGACTTATTAAGAGGTTGAAATCAGAAAATTGACAAAGTTTCAAATTGGGTGGCCATTTTATGGTAACGTCAACTTTTCCAAAATATATTACCACACTTTCAATTAATATGCAAAATGCTATATTAATACGTAGTAATCAAATGAATGCCTATTTTTGCCTTTCGAGTGATAACTTGTGAAATGAAAGAAAAGATGCATTAACAGAACCCAAATGCACTCAGACAAACGGAATGTGTGCCTTTGTTCGCTGCTAATTATTCCTCGGGAGTGTATGAAAGATAACTCAGGACAGGAAGGAACAAATTTGTTAAATGGACTCTCCATTGTTCCCGCAAAACCACCACCATTTTAGATATGGCAGCCGTAGATTCTGTGAAATTACTCAATCTCATTGTTACAGAGCCGTATTACCCCCTAGAGAATAGAATCTAGTCAAATACAATTTTATAGAAAGGCTGCCTCGCTCTCCCTCCTTCTGTACCATCCGCAGAAGTGACAGGGATTCCTGATAGTGATTGGTCATACACTGATGAGGTGCTTTTGTTTAAGAAACAGATCGTTGCTGAAGCTTGAGTGTGGAATGCTTAAATTGAAGTGCTCTCCCAAATCTTATCAGAAAATGGACTAACTACTGTGTGTTTTCCCACTTAAATGCATGTTGGGTTTCTGCAAAGAATGCATTCATGAGATAATCAATATGACCCTGACATAATCACAATGGAAGCTGATTTGTTTATAACATCTGAGTTCCCTTCAGTGGTGCCTGATTAGCATATGCTGAGCAATGCATTTACACTTCCTGTCTGTAAGAACAACAACAGGTCAGTGAACTGGACAAATATGGCCTCGTGTGATCTTTGTAATGGGTAACCAGTGAGGTCAACACTTCTGCCAAACATCAAACGGTAACAAAATTCTTTTAGGTCTGCTGCATGCAGCATATTGAGGTGATGTGACAGTGTAGCATACTACTGTTTGATATTGCTATTTATTCATGCATAAGATACATTCTTTCATGGATAATTTTCAAATCATTTTATCTCATAATTACAACTTTTTTACCTCATAGTTATGACGTAGTATCTTAAAATTTGGCTTTAACCAATATTTTCAACTTTTTATTCCATAATTTTGACTGAATATTTAAATTTGTTTTCTTTCTAACCCATAATTTCACATTCTATCTCATAATTATGACCTAGTATCTTAAAATTATGACTTTTAACCATAATTTAAACTTTTCATTTCATAATTTTGACTGAATATTACATTTTGTTTTCTTTCTAACCCATAATTTCATTTTTAGCTCATAATTTTGACTTAATATCTTAAAAATGTCTTTCTAACCTATAATTTATCTCATAATTATGAATTAGCATCTTGAAATTGTGACCTTGACTGATAATTTCAACTTTTCATCTTGTAATTATGAATTAATATCTTCAAATTTTCTAATCCATCATTTCTACTTTTTATCTCATAAAATTACTTTTTAACATCTTTACATTTTGGCTTTCTAATCCATAATTTTGACTTTTATCTCATAATTATGACTTAGTATCTCATACTTTTGACATATCTCATTAATTTAACTTTTTATGTCCTAAGTGTGATTTACCAATGCATGGATTTTATTTTTTTTTCCTAATATGGTAGAAATTGTCTTCTATAATAGGCTACTGTACAAGGCACAGATGCAGTAAGAAGTACGCTAGTATTGCTTCTCGAACATAGACTTGCCGTGTTGAAGGTCTTGACTTATAAATATTAATTAGAATACGTGACTGGATGCTCCAGAGCTGTTACCAAGCAACGTCAGCGTGACCTAGTTAATATTCATAAGCTAAGCCCTTCCCCACAGTAGTGCATCGCTGCTTGTGTTGGTCCTCCGGCGGTCTGTGTTATATGTGGCGGTCGGGGGCCGTCAGGAAGGCATGTGTCTCTCAGAGGTCTCAAATGAAAACACTGACCCCGGACAAAGCACCACATATTCCACGAGATTTTTTTCCCAGAGTTTGAAAACTTCTCATTGAGTTTATAGACTTGGCTAGTGGTAAATATAAAATCAGATTCAATGAATTCACATTGGATGAATTTTCATAGGATGACTCGGAAAAGAGAAGTTTAAATTGACTTGCCAGTCACATAAAGTTTGTAGTTAACGAAAAAATAAATAAATACAAAAAGCTTGCAGTTGATCAAAGTTACTTTTAATACGCGAGAACACTGGTGAATGGCGTCAGATAATGTTATGCTCTGAATCTGTAGTATATTGCTGCCACTGTAGAAATTAAAATATAATGTAGGAAAGAGCGTGGAATCTGGTAACACTATCACTTACACACAATTATATGGGTTAGTTAGCCTATGTGGTATAATCACTATAGTACATATCTACCATAATCCTTAAGTTGTACTGTACGACTGACTGTAAAATAAAGAATTAAGACAAAACATTAAAGTAAAACCATGTCATATTAACTTAAACTGGAATGTTTAGTTGGTTTGTTACTGATCCAAGGTCTACCTCCTCTAACCAGCTCCTTCAACGTTCCCACCGAGTCCATTTGTTCATCATATATCAGTTTATGATGATAAAACAACCAGCAAAATCTAGACAGAAAACATGGAAAACCAACTACAATCCACAGTGTAACTTCTAGTGCCACATGTGAACGTCTGTTTCCAAGTAGGCAGGAAATATCTAAATGTTGTATGTTTTATGATTCATGGTCATAAGTCTTCACAGGTGTCCCACTTTACATGTTAGGCCAAAGTGAGATTGTGGTTAAAACAAACCTTCACAAGCAAGTGACCTTAATGCAGTTTTTCAACAATATAAACCTTTTGTAATCCAATAATCATTTAAAAAGCACCATAAAATAATTTGTAGGGTGGATCTTCCATCATGTGCTCGCTCAGAATCACAAAGAACCTTGTGACAATTATGAATGACTGTTACATTTGATTATCTCCTGATAAGGGCAATCTGTCAAAAACCCTCTTTGTCCCACTTTAATTGATGGTCCACTTTTGCTAATGGTTCAGATAGGCATGCAATATCATCCGGGAAAAAAATGCATTTTAATATGAACTCCGGGCTTTGTTGAGAACAAGTTGTGATATGATCTGCAAATGATTGTGATTTAGGGTTGTTTTGCAAGAAATGTTCATTCATTGTACTACTATAGTGGATAGTGTGGATGGTGTATAGGCGGCTCGCCGGGGCAGCCTCGCGGAACAAGGCGAGCGTGAGGCAACTTCTCTGAGATTCCTCAAGAATGAAGCGCGCTTTCTGCCTTCTCTCCGGACCCGTCCCTTCGTATCGAGCTCTCTGAATGACTGCACGTTCACTGGAAGATTTCAGTTTGACTCTATAGGGGACGTCTGCTCTCTGTGATTCCTCGCGGTGGCTGGTTGCTGTACAGAGCCAAATGAAGGATACAAGCGGAGTTGGAAAGGACTGACTCGTATTTGGAGTGGGAGACGCGATCGGCTCCGAAGCTGATGTTTATGGGGACTGTAGCGCAGCAGAACATAACGGGCTGGGCGATCGTACTGTATAGCTAGGCTACGGGACGTTAACGGATTTGACAGCTTGTAGGCAAGTGCTGATTGTTTGTCTAAGCAGAAAGGATTCGGTTGAAGTGGCAAAACGAGGACACCGTTGTGCACGAAAGCGATATCTATGCGACCATGCAACTTATCTATCCATATACTGCTGCTGCGTAACGCGCAAGTCCCCTCGCTCAGTGCTCCTGTTTGTATTTATGGATGAAACGCGCGTTTTAAGGCACCATGCAGCGTAAACGAGACGTGGTTACAACAGATTCCAGTGTGATACCGTTGTGCACGAAAGCGATATCTATGCGACCATGCAACTTATCTATCCATATACTGCTGCTGCGTAACGCGCAAGTCCCCTCGCTCAGTGCTCCTGTTTGTATTTATGGATGAAACGCGCGTTTTAAGGCACCATGCAGTGTAACGAGACGTGGTTACAACAGATTCCAGTGTGATAAACCCTTAAAGGAAAAAAAAAAAAAAGATTGCCCCTATATGGACATATTTCCATATTTGTAGCCTATAATATACATCCTCCTATTGATCAGAATTGCGCAATATTGAACGAAGTTCTGAATTGCATTGTAACAACTATACGAATAATAATGCCTGTACTCATGCTGGTGGTGATTATAATGTTCGTTTCGTCTTTAATTTTGTGTTTGTATGCATGTGTACAAATAGGCTACGCAAATACATGGAAATGCACGCTAAAATAATATAGTTAAGATTGAAACGATTCAAATAAGAAGCAGTATCGATCAAATAAAAGGCAGTTTTACAGTTTTGCGCTTTATTTGAAACGGTTTCCGTGTGCAAAATAGGCTATATACAGCGGCTTTGTGCTTTTCTCATTTTGAGAGCTAAAAGTGGCTGGTGTGATTGTATTGAATCTAGTTATTATTTTGGTCAGCAAGTTCAGTCGTCGCTTGATATAAAGGACAGCAGCACCCGTGCCACACTTCCACGGCGCGCGAGGGCTGGACAGTGTCTCACAGAGGTCTCTGGGCTCTTTTATACGAGAGGTTGGGCTCCGTATAGGTCGGGCTTTGCATATGTGTAATCAAACCAATGAGAATCCCCTGCGCGTCTGGCACACGGCAGAGCAACAAACTCTAGGAAGAAGAGAAGCGTAATTTAGGGGGTGTATCCCTTGTTTAAGACGCTGTTATGGCAAAGCCAATCGCCAGATGTTTGTGTTTCTCACTCAGATTTTGAGACTAAGCAGAACGCCGGGTTACTACGCGGAGGCTGATTCGCGTATCCAAGCCACTTTTAGCCAAAGTCTAGCTACACGCGATCTCTCTCGCCCACTTTACGCGCAGGATTACGCCCGTTTGCTCGTCTATTTCGCGGAGCTGCAACGTTTTTTCTGTCATTCTTTAACAGGCTGAAGGAAATGGCAAAGGAGAGAGGAGCGCGGCTGGGAGAGCGCAGAGGAAACCAGAGCTGAATGGCAGGATGCAAGCGACCTGAAGACGCACAAAACCTCGCATTTCTACAGCTCTCAGACCCTTTTACGCCTTCTTTTGGTTTCCTTCCTTGCGAACGAGAGGAATTACCACCCCTATACGACCATTTAAGGATTTTCTTGTTTCAAAATTTTTCAAATTTGTATTATTTTCACACGCAGAACTCAAGGAATCGAGGATGCATTGTGGATTAGTCCTGATCCTCTTTACGGGAATCTTTCTCATCGTCAGTGCTTTCAAAAATGGTGAGTGTCAACTGGAATTCAGTGACCGGGGTGTTTAATGACTTTTCTTAGGGATTAGATGGGGAAAGCCTAAAAATGAGGGGTTGCGAGTTCATTCTGGTCACCTGCTCTCACCTGCCGCCGGTTTCTGACACTGGATGGCCAGGCAGATCATTTGAACCGCTCCGATATTCAGTTGTTGTTTTTTGCGCTGTACAACAAACGCACTGATTGTGGTCAAATGTGTTCACATGGTAGGCATATTTTATAATAACTTCAATTAATAATATTAATGTTTAGCAAATGGCGAATATTTACAAAATATATTATTTTACATTATATTATTATGTTTTACATTTATTATAATGACAAATTATAAGCTTATTGCGTTATATTTCTTAAAAGATGAAAGCAACGTTAACGTACTTTCAAATATTTCAAAATGTAATGAAACCCATATTTTCATAAATACTGTATTCATATTTGAATATAGATTAACTACGTATTAGTTGAGTATTATGCTATTTTTATTAATAACGTGTTATTAAAAAAAGTTATTATACAGTTTTCTGTTCGTCTAAAAAGTTTTGTGTTACTGACTCTAATCTCGGCCAAATTTGGGAGACTGTACATTTTAACATTATTTTAGAGAATCTGACGCTTAACTGTAATATTTACGGTCTGATATTACGAACTGCAATTATAAATAATAATTTTGCCCCATTGTCGTGAATACGTCTAGTTAAATGTAGGTGTAATAATATTTATAAACTTTGGGAGAAGTATTATTTACTAGGCCATTTTAGATGTGTTATTGTAATTAGTCATGTAGTTTTCAGTCCTGTTTGCGCACTCGTCCGCGTGTTTTGCTAATTCACATAAAGTCACATAATGTGCAGCCTATCATGTCTGTCCGGAATAAAGTCTAGAAGGCTTCAAGCGAAATTTCATGGGGTCACTTGCATGTGGTTTTATCACTTAAGTTTTTATGAGCTCATGTGTAGATAATCATGCGTATACTGTACGTTTATGAATTAAAATAATGATTGAGCATAACAAATTCTGTGTTTTTAAGAGTGATCATAGGGTCATGATTCCCTCTCAACAATATTAACCTCAACACAAAAGCCTCTAACGATAAAATCACAAAAGGGTCATTTACTTCTATGTTTTTTTTTTTATGCATTATACATTACTAAACCAAATTTAAAATATCCAGTTCATTCTGTTTGCCTGAGATAATTCTTTACACTGAAATATCTTGAGTTGTTTTGGCATAATTGCACATATTTTATGCTGGCAGTTTTACATTGAAGCTGTCATATTTTCTGTCTGAATGTGTTGGTGTTTATTAAAGAAAAAGTTGGTGTTTACATATAAACATCTCCGTTAGACTGTGAGCCATGTGGTGCTCCTTAAGTTTGTTTGTTGTTGATAGATATGATGAAATTCAGTGTTGATCAGCGGTAGAGTGGTTGAAAGAGCAAATAAATAAAATATGGGAGAGACAAAGGTCATGCTTCCCTCCCACATAATGACATGTAGGCGAAAATATCAAGCCTTTATTTAGTGCTCAGAAATGGGTCAGAAATGACTAGAGGTGCTTTTCTCTGTTGTAGTGAATGCTTGGAGAGAAACGGCATAGACATTCTTATGTCAAACTATACAGTAGTGGTATTGTATTAGGTGTTCAAAAATAAACCATTCAAGACAGTGTCACACCATGGAAAACCATGTTAAAACTGTTTTCATTTTCTTATCACTGTAAGTACTCAGTGTATTTATTCACTGTATTATATATAGTTGTGCATTGTTGGTTGGTAAACCAACATTTGAAACTCGTATTGAGCAGCTGGTTGATCAGAAGGATCTTTCTTATAAACCTGGTTCAGCTAGTCCCATACTGGGGACAATCATCCAAAACACAGCATAGTGTATATTGGTGACCAGATTTACAGCATGAATGAAAGTTTTCTTTTCTTTTCTCTTCAGACAAATGTGGGGACAATATCAGAATCACTAGCGCAAATTACCTCACTTCACCCGGTTATCCGGTGTCTTACTACCCGTCTCAGAAATGCACATGGGTGATTACAGCTCCAGGACCGAACCAGAGGATTTTGATCAACTTCAACCCACACTTTGACCTGGAAGACAGAGAGTGCAAGTAAGTGTTCAGTGTTCACTATTTGGTGTGGAGGTGCGCCACCTGCTGGCACTGCTTGAGCAAGACGTTCAGCTGCTGTGGAGCAGAGACCCTCGCGTGTGCTTGGCTTCTTTTAGTTCTGATTTCATTTAGGTTTTCCAAAAGCATTTTTTTGATCGTTGTGTAAATGTGTTAAAAATAACACTTGTTTGTGTTGGAGTTTCCTCTACACATTGTGCTGGCAGATGCCAAAAGGTGAAACAATAATGTATTGACAGCTAGTTTTTTTTATTTTTACATTATGATTCAACAGTTGACATGTGGTTTGGTTGGTGCAGTCCAGTCCTCTCTCGCTCCTCTCTTTCTCCTTCTCATTACGTCTGTTTCCTTTGTTTGTGCTGGCGGGTCTGAGGGACGTCATTGTACTGTCAGAGTGTGGCTGACTCTGTTACTGTATCCCCTCCACCCAAAAATGTCTTCCACCCGGAGTCCTTTGTGTTCTCTGAATGCCTCGTATTAATGGCACCGTTTATCAGGATCTTTACCTGTTTATGGCTTTGTAAACCTACAGAGATTTACAGCCCCAGATGACCCCGCGCTGTCTGCTCATAGGGGGGTCTGTCTCTTCTGAGAGTTCATGTTTCGCTGCCCAGAAACGACCAGACCCCCCCTCCAGTCACAGATACGCACACACTCACAAATCTCCAACCAGGGGATACTTAGAGTGAATGGAGTGTGTATAGACACATGGCGAGGACATAATGAGCCCCCCTAATGAAATTATCCAGCAATGGTTTGCCTGTGTTCGAACAAGCCAAGCTAAAGAATCGCACGTTTAGCTCCCGAGGCAGTCAGAGGATAGAAACGAGTTTAACGTGAGCTCTTTAAAGTGTGCTGGGAACTGTTTAGGATTATGAAGTTGTAGGGAAAACAATTGAGGATTATCGAGTGCTTCTGACTTTTTGTAATTTTTGCATAAACTGAATACCAGCTTTTTTTTTGCTCTTTAATCCAAATGTCTTTAAAATCTATTCAAATAGATTAGCTTGCTCCACCCCTAAAACTTTTGTTTTTGGCTGTCATCACTAGTTCCTCTTATTTTCAGCCCATCCAACCACCTAATTGGCAATAAGTGGATTGCAAATGTCATTTTGTGCTTTGCTTTTTTTGTGTTTGCAGTTATTTTTTGGCTTCATCCGTAACTCTAAAATGCTTTTTGTATAATTTGGTTTTGCATTATGTCTTTGCATGTGGTCATGGTTCATAAAATAGCAGTACAAGTTAAGTTAAGTGCTAACTTGAAGACACACTCATGCCCTCAGCACTGCATTTTCTACTAAAACTCTGCTTCAGGGCTTTCTTCCCCTCCTTAAAACGTGCTGCGGTTGTATTTTCCCCCCAAGGCAACATATGCCATTCACTTGCATTCAGTGCCACTCTATAATCTCTCCACTTCAATCTATCATTTTAAATTGCTGTGGAGAAAGGCTATTCAAACAAATTTAAAGTTGTTTAGTAATTTCCGTCGTGATTGGTCAAAAGTTATGAGCCACAGAGATTGACGCCCCACCACCTCTATCGCAAATTCAATTCGGAGACCAGATAGACATCTGTTTGGTGGATCTGGTTTCTGCAGATTAGTGGGTGTTTTCTTGACTCCCAGATTCAGCTGGACACACATTAAGGGCCTCTTGCATAATGGAAACTGTTGATGGCCGAAATGGCTTCTTTATCAGATGGACTGCCGAACGAGGGAAGCTACAACGCACGCTTCAGTGCGCCGCTCGCAATCTAATTAGCAACAAATGGAACGCACATGCTCAGCATAACATGTCCGTTATCAACAAAGCAAACAAGAAATGCTTCACTTGTGAAAAAAAACAGCTGCCGGATCCGAGTCAACACTGGGTGTTGCATGCGTTTGATGATCTCTGGCATGTTTTGTTTGTGACTGGAACAAATGGACAGATTAAGAGAGGATTTTTTGGATTGTATATTTAGATAAATATAATTTATTCTTTTTATTTAAAAATTATATATTTACATATATGAATTTATTTATTTTCCAGTTTGATCAAATGACCTGGCTGGACTGCACATTAAAAAAAAAAAAAAGAAAAAAAAAGGATGACAGCATTGTAGATTGTCATACTGTGTTATTAACGCAGATGGACTTCAGTGAGCTCATAGTGTGTCTCTGTGTGTGTGTGTGTGTGTGTGTGTGTGTACTGTGTTGTGTCAGAGGCCATCCTCTCCTGATAACACATTGCTCTGACAGCACTATGAATCATTGATGCGCCCCAATCCGCTGACCAAACAAAAACTGGAAACGTTTCCTCCCGATTGTTACATTCCTGTCTTGAAGCGGTGAGGGGATGCATTGGATGGAGGGATTGTTGAAACGTGGCAAAGGACAGAGTGTAGCTTTGCTCTCAAAAGAGATAAGCTTTACTGCTTGAAGCAATATTTTTTGTATCTAGTCATAGAATGCACAACAATGGCCGGTCGGTTTAGATTTGTGCATGTGTTTGCTCTTGTGAATAGTCAAGATGGCATTTAGAGAATGCTTGTTCAAGATTGGTCCCAAAGGAGGCCACTAGAAGGCCCTTGGCTAACCCTAAGTCTGAAAGCACAGCTTTACAGTGACCAACCTTCAGCGCCGCCCTGCTGGGTCAATCCACAAAGTGCCACATGTCCTGCAGAGAGAGCAAATACACTCTTGGCTGGCCAAACAAACCACACATCCTGTATCTGTGTTGCTCGGAGACTAAGACAAAGCTGATTAGTCATGGAGACTCTAACAGTAGATGCCTTTGATTTAGTTATGGGTTGTTTCATAAAGACGTTTTAGGTTTAATTCATATAGATATACATTCAGTGGCTGCACTACCATTCATTTGCTCAGATGCCCTGCTGTTGGTGTGAAATAATGTTGTGGCTGACAAACCGAGGTGAGAAGAGAAAGGGTAAAACAGTAGATCTCACCAGTGTTTAGATATCAACACCGCCCTTCCACTCAGGCAGGGTCTTGATCCATTGTTTGCATGGGCTCCAGTGGAGCAGGGGCCCCGTGGGTCTCCTCTCCCCCACTGAGAGGTTCCATAGCCAGGCTGGGAAGGGCCGTAACTCTCCCTGCTTCTTCCAGACACCTGACGCTGGCCCTCTCCACTCCTCCACAACGAATAAACGGAGAGAGAGCCGTATGGCATGAACATTCATCAGCGGTTGTCACGGAAGGGAAAACCAAAGAAGTATGGAATGCAACGGACCTCCTTTCATCCTCAGTGATGAGGGTTTTTAAAGGCAGGGAATGCTTTGACCTCTGGGCTGTGGAGGAGGCTTGGGCTGACAGAGATTGTTTTAAATACTTATGGCCCCTGTTAACAAACATAAGCACGGCGATCTATTCTAAGGGAGGGTCAGGGAAGCAATCGTAGGATCAAAAGCATGCTGGGCCAGGCACAGAGGCAGAGAGTCAAACTCAGTGCTCCTAAAACAGGTGTACCACTCCTGTTTCATTTCACAAAGATGGCATTTTTTCCCTTAACGCTTGATGTGCTTTGTGTCGCCCAGCAGACAGAAAGCAGACCGTAAAGCAGGGGCTTTTGCTTCCACACTGAGCAGTTTGCTGTGTTGGGAGGTTGTTTCTTGTCCCTAGACTGCTTCTAAATCACATTTGTTCTGGCTCTGTGCTGGATTCTGGGTACAGGGAAAGGAGGCAGCAGCTGTCATATGGAGCAAGAGCGAGGTGGTGTTACTAAAGCCAGTCCAGATGGAGAATGAGGCATAAACATTGAAAAACATACACAATAGTGCCCACATACTGTTGAGAATAGCAGATTTCAAAAACTGAGCTGTAAAAAGATGATGTATGTAATTTCTCTCCTGAAGGTTAATTGCCTTCATGCTCTGTGGTGCTTTCAAAACATTGCAGTTTCTTTGAGAATCCTGACCAGTCTAACATAGCAACAGTTTAACCAATGACATGAGTTCAGGGTGTGGCTATTTGTCGGATCGACCAATGACGTATTTTTGTAAAACCTGTTTGAAAACGGTCATTATTAGGCCATCTAATTGAAAAAGGCCTTTTAGAGGAGACCTCAACAATGTTGCAAAGTATGTCCAGTAGCACGTCTGAGCTATGCTATCCACATTCATTTTATAGTTCTGAAACGATTGTTGTTGTTCTGTATTTTCCACAGTCATGCCTTTTTCACTCTTTGGCACGCATTTCATCACCTCATTTTCTCCTTGGCCCTCTAACCCTCTCGCATGACACTGAGGAGCTTGAGGTTGTAAAGTGGTCCGGCTAATGAGAAAGATTAAAGTGGTGTGTATCTTTCTGCATGCGTGTGTCAGGGCAAGGGGTTTTCCGCCGCTAAAGCGCTTCACCTTGGCCCGTGTGTTGGAAGGACAGGCTGATTGAAAAGCTCTCTCTCTCAGTGACATCTGCTGTCCTCCCTGCTGTTCTGTCACTGGCTTGATTCATGTCCTCCTCATTCTCTTGCTCTCCGTCTCTCTCTCGGAAAGCCTAGGCACTTTGCCGCTCAGCGTGAGCTTATCTATGAGGGGAGGAGAGAGTGATGAAGTAGGGAAGTAGGGAAGAAAAGGAAGAGAGTGTTAGTGAAAAGTGAAAAGTGAGTAGATGAAGAGGAGGAGGCAGAGGCGGACAGCATGAAAAAAAAGTGGAAGATTCAAATAAAAACACTACATGATATGTGAGTTATAGTTGGATAAATGGTGCTTAGAAGAAGGAGTAGGCTAACCAAAATCAATTAGGAATTAACAAAGTTGTATCAAACCTCCACCATTGTTGCAGTAAAGCACAGAAGCAAATCTCAAAATGATCCCACTGACAGAAGAATGATGAAGCTTCTAAAGAGAATCTGGTAAAAGTCTCTCCAGCTTTCCACACAGAACAGGTTTCCCAATATGGAAGTTTCTGTTTTCTGCTGTGAGCCATGAGTAAATCTTGTTGTTCATTTCTGTTTTGTTCCAGCTCAGATGTTCTTAAGTAGAGC